GCGAAGGGGGGGGGGGGGGGGAGGATACTGCCCCAAAGCAATACAGAAATGCTTATAGACTGGGGGAGGCCATGCGAAGCAAAGGCCTCAAGACTATCTGGGATTTTCTGCAAGCAACTAATAAAACTGTGGCACTGAGAAGACACCACCAAGAGGACATCTGTTGATGCACCAACCTCTGAGGATGTGTCCAAGGCTTTTCCTGCTGAGTTTTTGCCATAGGAAGCTCAACAAACACACCCCACTTTTTAGGATTGTTTGCCCCAATGCACAAGACTTCACAGTTGCTTATGCTGAACCTGACTGGTTGTCCAGCTCAAAGAGAGCGCCCTAAGGTCTGCCTCAATTTGCCCCACCATCCTAAACAGACAGGGCTCCATTGTTTACTTGGGTACCTTCATTGGCCGCCATTCCTTCTGATCAAATGAAAGAACGTCATCCTCAAATGGCATGGGGGGAGAAACTGAGAGCAAGGAGGACCTGGGAAACCAGTTTTGGTGGTGGCAGTCACAGGATGGTAGCATTTATTGACACAGATGGGTTGGTGCTGCAGGACCACTCACAGATTTCAATCTTCTGGCAATATACACACCTGACTGATGAGGATGGGGGCATCAAGTTGGTGTCATCTCTTAATGACCACAGAGGTGGATCTTCTCCAGGATGCTATCTCCCCAACCTAGCCCTTCAAGTCTATCCCACCTTCCACCTCTCTGAGGGAGATCACGGAAGTATTTTGCAAGCTGCCTCTTGCAGAAACCACCTTTTCTCATCCTGGCTTAATGGGGGTTCTGTAAAAGACACTTAGTCCAAGGTTGGGCCCCCAAGAGTTGGAAGATGCTGCCAAGAAGATCTTTCTGCTCGCTGATCCAGGGCCTGCTATTTCTCAGGAGCCCCTTCTCCCTCTCCCTGTGATCCAGTCGCCTCTGACTCTTCACCAGAAAGAAGCATTTTCACCACCTTCAAGCTGGGGACAGCGGGCTCTGCGTCCGCCAGAATCAGGGCCTTCTGCAAGGTGTCTCGGTGGGTGTTGCTCAGCTTGGGGGTTTCGTAATGGATGCGGATCCATGGAGTCCCTGCAAGGAAAGGGGAGGCAGCAGTGCGTGCTGAGAAGAATTCAGGAGGAAATGATGAAGGAGCTGTCATGGGGGAGAGAGTTGCCTTGGGAATGGGGGGCCTCTCCCCCTCCTTTTTGTGAAGTAGGGGGGAGAAATGCTTAGACCTATTTAGAAATAGACTCAGCACAGGCTGCTCTGAAGCAGCAACAGCAAGGTGTAGGCGTCCTAGATCCCGGCCCGATACTGGAGAAGACCGTGCTGATCCTGGAAAGTTCAACCAAGGCTGTGGCGGATGTCAGCCAACGTCCCAGATGAACTAAGACCTACGCAGATGCTCTCTCGGTCACACAGGCCCTGAAGGAGGGTGGGAGACCAGAGCATCGCCTTCCTGGACCCTGTCACTGCAGGCGTCTCGGACTGGGCCAAACGGTGCCTCTGCCTTGACCCCCCCTTAGCGTGACCAGAAAGGCAGGGAGCCAGGGAGGCGGACCTCTCCATCAGCAGGTGTGGCCAGCCAGAGACTGAAGCTGGGAGCTGGACCTCTTTCCAGGGGCTGAAGCCTGCAGTAAGCCGGGGCAGCGGCCAGCAGGCCCCCCCCCCCTCACACCCCCCCCCGCCAGTGGAATGGAGGCTGCCCCCGTGTTTGGCTTGGGGGATTCAAGGCACACACATTAGCCAACCTGCAATTGCCACAGGGTGGCATCCAGACTGATCTCACCTGTAAGTCTCTAAGCAATTTTTGCCCATGTTTAAAGACGAAGAGGGAGAAGGGGGGGGGACACTGGGGGGCTCCTGGGCAGAGCAAGCCAGGCAGGGCCAGAACAGATGGGCTGGGGAACTGCAGCCGCAGCTCTCTGGGACCCCTGCCCAGGGTGGGCTCTGTCTTTCGGATCAGCAGAATGGATCCCTGGCGCTGGCACCGCATCCTCTGGGCACCGCGGGCCCCCCGCCATTACCTTTCTTCACTTGCTGCCCCACGGAGACCAGCAGCTCTGCGCCCACCCGGTGGTTGATCTTCTGCCCCTCCCGGGTCCGGCCGGCTCCCAAGCCGTGGAGCACCTGTGCAATGGGCATAGCCAGGATCTGCTGCACGGTCCCTGTCAGGAAGAGCAGAAGGGCGGGCTAAGTGCCCCCTCCACACTGGGGGCAGCCCAAAGCCTAGGACGGAAGGGGAGGGGGATGGACCTGCAGGGGCAGGCGGGCAAGCCCCTCCCTCATGGCCACTGAGGAAGAAGACAACCTCCCCCCACCCCCATTTGGTCTCTTGCACAGCTCCTGTTTGTTTCAGCGCATCTTGTGAGGGAGAACATCTAGGCGCCTTGTGTCCCCAGTTATTGTGGCCTCGATGATTGCTGTTTTGCCTCTGGGGTCATCGAGAGGAGCCCGCATGGTTTCCAACACCTTTTTCCAGGATGAGAGATTTACTGTGGAGTCATTGGGAGTCTCTGAGCTTGGCTGTTTTCTTGCAAACGTTTCCTTACCCGCCTAGGTCACATCTTCCGTGCTAAAATGGGAAGGGGTTTGCTCCCTGTTTATCTGCTGTGGCCTGCCCTGCCAGTGGGGGTGGGGGGTTTGTTTGAGAGACTTACTGTCCAGAAGGCAGGGGATCGGGCCCTTTGATTCTGCCAAAGAGCCCGAGTGGGGGAATAGAAACAGCTTTTGCAGCTGGACCCAAGAATCCGGGCGCTCGGC